CACCAAATTGACAGCACCACTGCGTTCTCCTTACTTTGAGCAACAGAATAGAACAAGGAAGTATAGGTTTTGGTGAAGAATTGAGAATGCTTAGCTCCCTTTTTATAGTAGATTTGAGGAAGAAGAAGACACTGGTTGCTGAGCGTAGGAAGATTCACAATCGGCTTAGTGCGCTGGGAGGAGCCGTTCGCACAGTGTCCCTGATTGGGACCAATTTTGGTTCCAGTCGGGGTACACTTTTTGGTCCAACTTTCTCCGAATTGCATTCCGTTTGAACCGTTGCGATCGGGCAGTTAAACTCTATCTAACGATATAATTTTTATATTTATTTGTAATACTTTTTCCGACATCATATTTTTGGGTGTTTGACTTTAACAGAGTCAAAATTGTTTTAATTGACCTTTATTCAAAAAGGTTCTCACATTTAATTCATATTATTTATTTCCATGATTTATTTCAATAAATCATTTCAAAGTTCACATTATAAACAATTTCTTCATTTATTCTTAATTTTGGTGTGTACTCAGTTTCCCAATCAAGATCACACAATAAATCAACATGTTGGATTTATCTGTATGAGATTTATCCCAATTATGTTTATTGGATATCAATATATATATTTTATTTCAGCCTAAAGCCCAACAACAATTTATTTTAATCAAAACAAATTTTGTTTAATTGAATATTTAATTCAATAAATTTTAGGGTATATTTTGGGGCGTTATATTTCTTCTCCCCTTAAGGGAATTTCGTCCTCGAAATTCTTCTAAGGTCAAACGTTCAACATTTCATAGTGATCTCACTTAATCATGACCGTGTCATGCTCAATGGGTTAAACCATAATTACGTCATTATCCATGAAATCTCAAACTGTCGATGTTATCAAACTCGTTCTTTGTTCAAGAGGTTAACAATCTTAGATTAAGCAAGGTATCCAACAATCCTTTTGTGGGTTCCTGTTCAAATTCAACATCCATAACTTGGGTTCCTTTGCAGGGTATAACATCGTATTTTGGAGCATATTTGACATACTTCGTTCATTCACAAGTCTTGATTGTTCGTCATTAGTCAACAACATTCTTTCTTTGATTGAAAGTCCTTCAGTAGCATTTGCAGTTTCAAGTTTGCGATAGTTATAGTGGAAGATTTGGATGTTGTTTAATTCATACGTCATAGCATAATCTTCATCCAAAACATCCTCACATCGTTCTCATAGTTCAGCAATGATTCGTAAGTAACATCAAATGTCTTTTATTGGTTCATGATTTCCAGAATATGGGATTTGTCATCATTTATGAGGAGGTACTGTCGATCGGTTGTACAGTAGTTCGTCATTCATCGACCTTATGTTGAAACATTTCTTCATTCATCTTCATGGTAGCTCTCATTTATCGTTTATGAGTCTTTGCATTAATTCGTATCCACAGGTGATAACATTAGAGTGGTGTTTCATATACGTCTTGTTGTATTCCACTTTCTTCATCGATTTTGGAATATACGTTCTTGATAATGACGGGTGTGATGTAACACTATGGTTGATTTCATTTCGAGTGAAGAAGGAAATATATTCGGTATGAGATTCAATTCACGAATTCATAAAGTAAGAAATCTTACTAGTTCTTACTCCAATATTATATATAGGCTGGGGATTTTCACTCTGAATAATTTTAGCTTGATCCTTGTGACGTCATTTCTTCTCTGGTCGTTGCACATATATTCCTTTGTTAGGGTCAAAACAGAGTTTCTTGATAATAATATTCATAGATGACGTAATTGCATTAACTGTTTCGCAGCGGTTCCCTAGAGAGGTTTAACATAATGTTCAAGTCAGGGTAGTTTTACTATTGTGATCGAGTCACGTAGTTCACAGACTATAGTTTTCAAAGATCGGTATCATGAAGCATCTTTGGTTTAATGAAGAATCGTGGTTTTAGTATTTTGACACAAAGAATGGAATTAAAGATCGATCAAGAGAGGTATTTCAAGGGTGTAGTTAACACAGCAAGTCGAGTCATTCAAGGATTTGAGTCACAAGCTGCAAACATAACGTTTGCAAATTATCGTTACTAATCATAGATTTTCTGTAACGCCCCGAAATCTGGCCCAAAAGAATTAATTAAATTGTTAGAGCAATTGATTACGAATTGGGCCTAAAAAGGGGTTAAAATTATAATTTGGATTTTAAGCCCAACTTTTATGTCATCTCGTAGGAAATATTTTTGTGATCGCGTCGGTTCAGACGGCTCGCGAATCGGAGTTATGGAGCTCATGTTATGACTATTTAATCAGGTATTTTGGGTCCGAAGCCCAATCCTTTTTGGAATGGGACCATTAAATAAACCTAAACCTAAACCACACAAACCTTATCCTTCGTTCGTCCTTCTTCGTTCTTCTTCTTCTTTCTTCTTCTTCTTCTTCTTCGCCGTCTAATTGCAGCAGCCAGCTGCCATCATCGCCGCCAGTTGCTGCCCATCCTTCGCCGGAAGTCCGTCGCCCACTATCAGGGTCAGCACCGCCGACGACGGTCTCCAATCGCCGCTGTCCTTCGCCAGTAGCCGCCGCTCCTCGTCGCCGTCCAATTGAAGCAGCCAGCCGCCGGCGTCGCCGCTCATCGCCGGTCGCCCTTCCCCAGCCAGCCGCCGTCGCCGAGCCTCCAGCCGCTATTTCACCTTCGCCGGAAATCCGCCATCATCGCCGACGAATTGCAGCGCCGCCACGCCGAGCGCTGGACGTCGCCTCCACTGCCGGCGTCCTTCCTCGTCGTCGATTGCAGCGCCGCCAGTCGCTGCTCACCGCCGTCGAGCTGCCGCTACGCCACTATCGCTGGCGTCCGTCACCGTCGCCGCATCCGGCCGCTGCCCCGAGTTGATATCGCCGGCAGATTAACCTCCACGCCGGATTGATTGGTCGATTTCGTATTTTGACTCAATTTGACCCGTTCTTTTGATTTCGTCGATTTGTCTTCCGTTCGAGCTATCGATTCGATTTCGGCGTAATCCAGGTCCGTACTATGAAGTTAATAGCATTCAGAATGGATTTAATGGTTTGGATCGTTATATGTGTTTATGTTATAATTTGGCTAAATTGGTTCATTGAATTAAATTGATTGTTTGAATTGAATTGTTGAAGATTGTGAATTGACTGAATAGGTTTGACTTTGACTTGGGTTAGGTCCTGTTTGACTTGGACTTTGACTGGATATTCTGTTGTCGTAGGTTTGACCGGATGGTTAAATCCAAGACTTTAATGAATTAGTTAAGTTAATTAATTAATTCTAATCGGTGATTAAGGTCATTTGGTTGATTGTGTTGAACATAGAAACTGGCCATTGCTCGGGCGGCTACAGGGCCTGGTCAGTGAGGTTAAGACGTGCGCACGAGGGTCTGCGATCTTGGGTTTGAGGCCATCGCCCGAGGGATCCTACCTCCACCGAATTGAGGCTATCTTCGGTATTACGGATTGAGGCTATCTCCGTCATAGGCATTAAATTTTAAGTGGTTTGACTTTAGTGAATGTCTAAATTGGTTTGACCGGTGGTCAAAGAGTTCATGAGAAACCCGTAACACCTAAATCGTTTTGAAAAGAAAGAAAATAAGTTGACTGTTGGTCAACCGTCTAAAGAACCGAATGTAAAGTTGAATTGATTTTTATTAAAAGGATAAACATATGCACGATCTTAATTGTTGAATTATTATGTTTATTCTTGTGCTACAATGGAGTACCAGTCAGCGTCAATGCTGAGCGGATAGCGTTGTTTTCTTTTGCTGTCCGTAGGTGATCAGACAGATGAACCTAGAGCCGATCCCAAAGGGCATTGAGGAGGAGATGTACGATGGCGTGGCTGTCTCTTTAATCTGTTGATTATGCTTTATTTAATTAACTTTAATGCTTATTACGTTTTCGGGCAAGATCCCAAGTTGTTTGACTTTAAAAAGGCTTCCGCATTATTTTAAATTACTCCAATGAATTTTTATATGTATTGATAGAACGTTTGTTTAAAATTGTTTTGAAAATGACGCAAATTCGGATACCAATTCAGTGGCACACCGGTCCGCTGTCTCACGGGTTTGGGTCATGCGGGTTGGGGTGTTACATTTTCATCCTTCAATGTTTCACTTTGTGGAAGTTACTCAAGAGGTCGTTGTCTTAGGAAATAGCCGTTCTGACTTTTCGTCTCGGATTTGAACATGTTTCAGGATAGCAAATCTAACTGTTCAAGAGTCTCAATATGTCATATCGTCAGCAGACTGTAGTATTGGCGAATGCGTTCTCTCCTGTAGGTAAATCGATTCCATATTACTGTACGTATTTTGGCTATTGATAATTACATTTCCATCAATGGTCCGGTTTTAGAGATATATATATCACGATTATGGAAAGAGTATCTCACATTCTCACATTATGGAAGGAACTTCTCGAACACTTCCTTACACCAGAAGGTTCGTTAGTCTACTTGGTAGTCATTCTCTTGGTATAAATCCAAAGTTTATGGATACTGCGGTAGCTTTAGGAAGGGAATTGTTAAGACGAAAAATTAAACTTGCCTATGGAGGAGGTAGTGTTGGCCTTCAAGGAGCTGTTGCTTCAACAGTCTTTACTAATGGTGGTCTCGTTAGAGGTTTCATTCCTGGGTACATAGCAACACGACGGGTCTATGGACCTACGTACAGTGTAGAGCACACAGTTTCCAGTAATTACTACAAATATTTTGAGATGAATCATGCCGTGGAAGCTTTCATTGTTCTTCCCGGAGGAGTTGACACCATGGAAGGTTTGTTCACCTTGATCTCGTGGGCTTCTGAAGGGTTACACAATAGACCCATTGGTCTTTTAAACATTGACGGTTATTTCAATAACCTTCTCAAATTCTTAGACGATGCGGTGAGGCAGAACTTCATGGCTTCCAGTCAGAGGAAACTTTTTATTTCTTCTTTCTCTGTTGACGAGCTTTTAGAAAAACTAGAGTTTGCTAAAGCTTTCCCGGG